TGCAAGAATAAGAGATTTAATCAAGAATGCATGAAGGAAACACTCTGTTTTAAATTTTCTGTGTATTACTTGTCTGGTGAAGAAGAGAATTACTTATGTAGAGATACTGCTTGCAGCCAATGATGCATGAAATTTTTTGTATAAGATGATGTTATGGGGTAGGACTGGATAAGTCTGCCTTCTTCCTACTCCATTCAAGCAAGTACTAGGTATAAGCAAATTAATATTGGATTAGCATTTGTGGATATGTGTGAAATTATGTGTGGTGACATGTCGACTATCTTTACATGCTTGAAAGAATCAAATCAAATCAAATCAAATCAAATGAATTGACTGTTTTATGCGAGGACTGGCAGCACTGTCTATAAAAAACAAGCTAATGCTTATTCAGATTTGAAATGACTGCAGACACACCTGTCTTTTGATTTATGATAACCAAAGTTCAAATATGCTTTTCATCTACAAATAATACATAGATAACATTTTCTAAAGTCAAATAAATACATGTCAAAGTGATTATAAAACAATTAGTAAACCCTAGGCAAAATAATTATTAACTGAAAATAAATGTTACATTTGGCTAAAAGATTGTTTTACATGAAATGGTGTGAAATTGTGTGCTGCCAGAGTTGCTAGAGTGCAGACAGAGTCTAACACTCACACTTGCTTGAGAGACGGCAGCTCTTGAAACACTCCTGGATCCATGGTCGATATAATGTTGCCAGAGAGGTTCCTAGCAGTACACAAATTAGACATAAACAGGTTCACTTAACAGCTTCCTCCACAATACACAAAGGCCAAAATGTTTATGGAATCAATTGATCTGTCTCTTACAGTTTAGTGAGATTGCTCAGCCCCTGGAACGTGTCTGCTGTCAGGCAGCCAATGCGGTTGTCAGACAAGTCTCTAAAAGCATAAGAGGTCAAAGGAATGTGTTGGTTATTTTCAAATTCAGAGGACTTGTCTCAGCCACTCAGGCATAGATTGTGATAGCTTGACTCTTTTCACTGTCCATCAAACACTACATGTCCATCATACATGTAAAACTGTACAGGGCCTAATTCCTGATCTTGTTCCTAATAAAATTATAAAGAGTTTTTTTTTTGCTTCTAGTACTGTATCTTCACTGTATATTCTATTGCAGTTTGCTTTGTTGTCCAAAGCTTAGAAAGTAAAAAATCTAAATAAGCATTCCAACAGCCACTTTCCCTTATCATGTCTCCATGGGACCCCAGGGAAAGTTTATCACCACTGGGGTTAAAGCAGGGCCCCTGTTCTGCTGTCCACCTCTGAGTGTGATGTATAGCCACAGCCAGAGAGGGATCTGCTCTGATGCACCTCTGACACTACCCAGCAGAGAGCTGTCCAGAGCATGTGTTTATCTCCCCCTGTTTGTTTTGAAAAGCCCCAGACCTTGCAGGGAAAACACAAGTAGGGGGAGGAGGGAAGGGGAGTCACACTGCGCAGCACAGGCGACCAACTATGACCCACGTCAGCAAACAGAGCTTGGTGTCCAAAAAAACAATGAAGGAGCAGCAAATGACCCTCCTGTCACATCCACTGACTTGTGTGGAGGCTCCACATGGCCCTAAGGTTTAGCAGGGCACCAGAGATGACAACGCAGGGCCTCCACAAGGGTCAGCAGAAAGAGGCCTTTATGGTCACTGTAACACCAGGAGCTTAACAGAATTCATGGCATCTGCCAAAACCTTATACACTTAAGATAAATGTGAGGGGATATGTGGGTTTCTCACAACTAGTACAACTCTTGTCTGTTTGGTGAAACATTAGGAACCATCATCTACCTCACTCCAACCAACTGAATAAAAAATGTCCTTGTCTGTGTTTATGTGTTTTGTTATTATATTTGCTGCTCTAAACCTGAATGGAATATAAGTCAAGTTAATGTCTACTTACAGTTTCCGAAGCTCAGACAGGCCTTGGAAGGCTCCGGGCATGATGGTGCTAATTAAATTGTTCTTAAGGTCCCTGGGGAGAGCAAAAATATTAGGTGAATGAGAGAATGCATGCTGGGCTGATGCAGGCACTTTTTCAAGGAACAGTTCTGGATTTTAGGAAATAAACTTGACAGATAAGAACATCAATATTACTCTCATGACTGTGCAGTAAATACTTAGATGAAGCTAGCAGTCTGTTACCTTAGCATAAAGCCTGGAATTAGGGTGAAGCAGCTAGCCTGGCTATAACTCCGCTAAAAGCTCACTAATTAAGATGATATATGTTATTTATTTAATCTATACAAAACCCACAGTACAAAGATGTCTTCAAGAGGAGGATTCTTTAAATGAAAATAAGTGAGAGTTCAGATGCATTCCCTAAACTGGGCCCCTCCAGCAGGACATGACAGGGTATTTCTGCACACATATTGGAAATCTTATCCCATCAGCCACCTGGGTTTGAGGCTAGCAAGACATAAATACCTGACCTAATAAAATATTGGTGGAATCTAAAACCACTAGCAAGGGGTTCTGTCACTTGTTTCACAATGACTCTTCCCACCATAAACCTGGCCATGCAAACCATAAATATAAACTCCTTTAATTGCCTTTGAGAATTTAATTTCATATTATGTGCTGCACTTTTCTACACCTTTCCCACACCCACACCCATGTGTTAAACTATTTAGCCAGATGTCCCCTCTCCATCAAGCTAACCTGCATTAGATTTTGAATCCTAGAAGTTTCTTATTGGCCAGGCAGGAATAATGAGATCAGAGCAGCTCAGGCTATTGGCAGGACATGGCCAGTGTCACCTGGAATGTGATCAATGGTCCTACAGCATGAGGAATGCCTGCTCCCATTGGACTGATCACATAGGAACATTTCCTTACAGGAGCTCACAAGCATCAATGTAGTGCCTGCATTTTTGTCTACTTCACTGTGGAAGGCAAGACCTTAATCATAAGGATAATCACCTTTATTTGGCCAAGCATGTTACACACACAAGGAATTTGTTTCCAGTACGGAACCAAGGCAGCCATCTGTGGAGCCAACACCGATGGCTCTGACCATCGGGGACAACTTGGGGGTTAAGTGTCTTGCCCAAGGACTGAAGGCACTGTGATTTGAACCTCCAACCTTCCAGTCGGGAAATGACCGCTCTACCCACTGAACCACAGTCACGCCAAGAGATGTTCTTGTCTTATTTTTCACAGAGATTATCTGTCATCGACGTTTTGACCACACTTCCCCACACCATATACAACCACAGGCATCTCTTAACCATTATCTTTCCTAGAGCTTCCAAGAGATAAGCTAGGCAGGGAAATAGTTTTAAAAGAGAGCTTCCAGTAAAAAAAATTTAAAAATTAGAATAGGTGATGTGTTATGGTTGCAATAGAGTCAGAGGTTTTGTTGTTGGTCCAAGCTCTCACCAAGCCATCGTTCATACCTGGATTATAGACAGGAGACATGTTATAATGATGGAGCAAAAGTTATTTGGCCTGGGACCAAAAGGCTGAGGTCTGTTGTGTTTGCCTCAGAGCAAGCCTTGGACCGATCAGCCCAGCTCTTTGAGTGCGTGCCAGATTGTCAGACAGAACAATTTGCAGTAGCTTCTCAGCATTTTAAAAAAGGTGGAGATGTTTCCACCTCTGTGGTTCTGTCAAAGAAGACAACCTAAAAAATCTCATAATACAGGTTTAGCTTTGCATCAGATCAAATCATAGATTGTGTGTATGTGAGGGAAAGAACCAGAGTTCTGTATGTGTGGCCTTGTGGGTTTGTCAGTATGTATATGGGAATGTGTGTGTCCCGCTCTGAATGTATATGTGTTTCTGCGTGGCAGTAGCTGTATAGGATTTGTTGACCAAGGCAGGGGGAGAACAATACTGCTGTTTCCAGGCTGTGTGTCCCGGGGCTCATTAGTACAACGATGAAAGACAAGGCCCTGCCCACTATTTCCTCTCTCTGATGACTGTGTCTCCCTCCCTTTTCTGTCCCTTTCACTAGCATTTTGCTGTGCAATATTTACCTAATAGTCACAAATATACAGTATTAAGATGATACTACAAGTAAAGCAGAGCCCATGTAACTCCTGATTAGGTTACTGAATAGAAATACAGACCTCATGTCTTCTGACTGCCTCAGAGATTAAAGATTAAAACATGTTTCTTGTAATGGAATAAAGATATCCTATACTCAAATGCTGCTCATTCCCTTTTAAAGTAACATGGCACAGTAGATCATCATGCATTGCATTTTATCACAAACAGTAAGAAAGAAGTACTTCCCTGGAATCTCTCAATACTGACTCACACTATATATTGAAATATTAAAGCTACAGAATGTTACTTTGTTCAAATATTTTAGTTGCAGAAATATGCTCCAAAACTAGCACGGAGAGGTGCTGTCGAAGGCTCCTGTGACCCAGACTCAATGAACAGCACTGGCAGCAGTGCAAAGATATTAGCTTCTAAAAGGTTTTGAGCAAGACTGACCTCTCTAACCAGTCAAAGATTTTCAGTTATTTCTGTTTGATCAGTAAATAGTTGTTGCATTCTCATTTATTATACTTTCATAGTGACAAATATCTGAAGGTCTCCTTCAAGATTTCGAGTGGGGACACAAAACTTTTAATAGAACTATTTAGAGATGTTTGTGCTGGCGTGCCATCTTCTGCTGTACTCAAGTCTTTCTTGGAAAAGAGCTCAGAGTCTTAGTGAAATTACCTTCTTAAATTGTATAAAATAATATATCTAAAAAGAAAAATGATCTTACATTTACTCGGTAAAAGACACAATGACTGATATCATACAGACAATGTCATAACTTACACAAACACACATATGCATGTAAATGCATATAGATGCAAAAATGTTGATTTTGTTTTACAATGAGTTACATACTTTGCAACAGACAACACACACTCACACATTCTGAGACAGGGTTTTATGCCAGTGAGTCGCACTGAGAGCCACTGGTGGTATGGAGTACAAGTGCCTTACTCCAGAGGTGAACCATTTGCCTAGTAAGTAACAATACACCTCCAAACATCTGCATTACCTACCTGGTTTTAAAAGGTGCAGTGTTGTGTGTGCTTTGGCCTGAACAATCCGATACTTCTGATATAGTCTCTTATCACTAAACCGGGGAATGTGGAGGAGCTCACCACAGCCAACAGGACTTGAAACCCCAGCCAAGCACTTAGCCCTACTGTAGCCCAAATGTCAGCTCTTATTCACCACCATAATCTGGGCTAAATCTCAGCTGTAGCCCTTCACCACTCGCCCACACGCTCAGATTTATTTCTAACTTTATCTCAAACCAAGAGTACAAACTGCGGCTCCAGCAGCCCTCACACTCAGGTGATGACTTGTCTGTGTGCCCTCTGGAGTAGACTGCGACCTCCCTGACAACAGCTTCACAGCTCGGTGGCCTTGACACACACAGGATAATAGAAAAGACAAGAAGCCTCATGCTTGCTAAGCATGAAAATATCACTGTGGAAAAGGTTAGAAACTGCAATTTGTAGTTATTTCTTTTTCATTGTCTTCTTCAGAAGCAGCATGTAGCTTTTGAAAAGGTTTTATGATTGGTGATGACATCTTGTATTATGACTATGGTCTTTCTCTTTAATTATGCTTTGTAACCTTGGGGGTGCAGTGCTTTATCCCCTTCACCACATGTGGCCTGTGTGATTGGGTTGTGGCAGACTCAAGCTCACTTCCAGCCCAAAATGGGCCATTGTCTGCTGCCACTGGGCCTAACACCAGCGGCTGCCATTAAGAATGTCCTTTTTTCTCCTTGAACTCCTCCTGATCAATGGGGCTGGTGCTCTGCCATTCTGAAGAGTCATTTCTCTGTGGGTATAAGGGATGAGCACCTGGGCCTCATGCAGGCTGGAGAGGACATGGCCTGTAAAAGCGCCCCAGACACTGAGTGCTCCATTATCAGGAGCACAGCGGCAGCGACTGGAGAGCTGCACTAACATTGTTTAGGTCCTGGCCCCGGAGGGAGCTGGGAAAATGACTGAAGCCAGGGAATGGCCACTCATTATCACCAGACTGGAATCAAGAATTTCCTGTTCCTGGAATTTTTTAAATGGAAAGACACGACATTACAGAGCCAGTTTTTACACTGGAATTATATTTCTTTCTTGAAGCAGACCATTATAAGCAACTGCCTGGAGAAAGAAACAAACACACAGGTTTAAGCTTGGCAAAGAAGCAAAGGAGGTTAACTGGCATTTTGGTTCCTGACAGAGGTCAGTGGAGACCATTTTTGTGCCGCGTGTCATTTCCTGTCTGGTTGGTGACTCTAGCAGAGGCCCGTGCTCGTTTATTTTTACAATTTCCTTTTTCTTCATTTTTTTTACTAGCTAGCTTTCCCCTGATGGGAGGGGCAGGTGGGTCAGGGGATTCAGTACCGGCCTTGCAGACCCCACCTCCCTACTCCTCAATGCACTTGCTCACAATGGGGGCTCTGTAACACAGGCCCCAAACGTACTCCTGCCTTCCCCCCAAAACAGGAAACCAGGACCTGCCAAGCTCTTGTTTTTCTACTAATTTCCTGCTTTGCAGCCCCTTCCCCAGATTATTTTCTTAATTTTTTGTCAGGTTCCTTTTGGATTGGATATGGGCTAGATATCAGCTTTTTGTCTTTGTTCATCTGGAAACCAATTGCTTTGGTGCAGCTATGAAGCTATGGGAGTAAATGTAGACTATTATATTCATAAAACTGCTGTCATATGGATTACCACTGGACACACACTTAAGATATATCTTTTTAACCCTCAGCAATTACCACCTAATTATCCACTGTGATTACAGCACAAGGGTTCAACAAATAAGGCCCTCAACTTTGCTCATGACTGGCAGTAGCATAAACTGTGGATCCAACTGCACAGCCATTAGTGGGATGTACAGAAATAGCAACATACACTTTTATTTGAAGTGCAAAATTTCCTGAGCTGATTATATGTTTCTATAGTCTGCAGTAAAAGAAGCCGGAGATTATTCTGCCAAGAAA